TATATATATATATATATTTTAAGTATGTGAAAAATTATGTTCAATAAGGCTGCAGAGATCCCATTAAAATTTTAGTCCAATTTCGGCTTTAATTTTAAGCTATAAAGTAATCAAATAATAAGGTAAATTGTAAAATGGAAACTCGCTCGTTTTTTATGTAGCTGGCCGTAACTCGAATTCACATGCTGCAGCGGGCAGTTGGGGGACTGGAATGAATATAGCTCGTCCTGGTTAAGAGTGATATGTGAGCTGTTCCTTTTTTTTATTTAAATATTCTTTTTAAATATTTTTTAATTTGAATTAAGGCATATCTAATTACGGTTGCCGTTTTTTTTTACAGCCGTTGATGCGGCAGGCATATCGCATGCACTAATACCCTTTGGGCATGGTGTTGTTTGTTTTGTTTCCGCTGCTCTGATAATTAAAAAAATGTCCGTTTGATTTTCTTTGGTTGGCATAAATGGCCACAAAATTTTGTTATTTGCATTAATTAAATGTAGCATTTATGCATTTCACTGCACATTTAAATTGATCGAATTGATTAAGAATGCGTCACTATTTAAATTATCCAATTGATTGTGAGTTGTGTTGTTGTTTTTCCTTTTTTATTTTTTCTGTGCGTACTCCCGATAAATGACGCGATTCTTAATTAAAATAAATTATAAAGGACAAAAAAAAATTGTTCAAAAATAAATACAAAAAAAAAAAAAAATAGCTGACGACACCGAAACATAAATATGCTAACATAAATATGAAAATTATTGCCAAATTTATTTGAAGCTTTTGCCGAAGCTATAAATTTCCAATATTTTTCATTAAATTGTTTTATTTAACTCAGTTTTATGGCTTTATTCTTTTTTTAGGTTTTGTTTTTTGTATAGCTTCATTCAACAAATATAAAGCAATATATGTCTGATCGACTGATTTACTGATTGTGTATTGTAAGACGTTTGCACGCAAACACGTGGTTTAGGTAAATTCCGCCCGCAATTGTGAAAAAAGCGTGAAAACACTTGTATGAAACCTTTTTGTCGACCATCCAATCGGCTCAAACTCATTTTCAAAGAGCTTTGCTCAAATTCATTTGATTGTTTCACACTTTTCGGAAAATCCATTCCATATTGATATAAGGCAAGGCTGGTTGGCATATAAAACAAACTTTTAGTAATAGCAAAATATATAGAGAAATCATTTATATAGGAAAATCTCTTTAATTCTTGAGCATTCCAAGTAATATACATATATATATATTTAATCTTTACTCTTAAATAGACCATGAGGCCTTACATTTGCTTGGACTAGATTTACATTCGCCACCATTTTGCAGGAAAATTGTTTCCGGCTTGGCATTTATAATCGATTTGCAATTCCATGCGATATGTTTATTGTTTTTTATGTAATTCATTTTTTTGATAGCGCATGCTTTAAGGCAAATGGTCAGGCGAGCGACAGTCCGTGGCGTGATATGACACACACGTGAATACATTATTAATCCATGCATTTTCTTTTTTTTTTTTTTTAATATTTCGCTCGATTTTTTCTTGTATAGTGAATTGGGTAAAAAGTAGGGTATATTACTTTTTGCAAATGTATGCAACAGGCAAAAGCAGGCAACTCCGATGCATTGAGGCATATATATATATTTCCGATCTGTTTGTCCATCTAAGCTAAGAGCTTGAGATAAGGATCCGTTAAGGATCCTTGTTACATAAGCACAAATCGAGAACGTTTACAGCTAGAGACACCAAATTTGGTATTTAGCTTCTCGTATAGTGTACAAAATCAGAAAGTTGTTCAAATTTTTAGTAGCTACTTTATGTAGAAAGGAACTTCGGATCTTTCTAAGGGCTGCTTTGAATTGAATAGGGGCTATCTGTTCGTTGGGCACGCCCTTTTTTCTACTTCTCGCTTTGCTTGTGCTCTTTGCTCCGCACATTGGGTCCATATCATTTAGGACGTCCACCTGTGATTTTTGGTCTCTTGTTGTTGCAGCTTATCCGCTTGTCGTCCAATTTAATTATGCACACCTCTGTGGAAAGGCTTTGAGCCACAGCTATGCACGGCACGGTCTATCGATATTTGTGTGACGGGTACATGGGGTGTTGGAGGGGTAAAAAAACGAATGCTCTTCGGGGTAGCGGTGGGGACAATTGCCTGTCGTTTCATGTGTATAATATGCATGCACACGCAGCACATTTGGGAGCAGTTCGAGTTGTTTTTGTTTGGCCACTGGCCTGTAACGGCATTGCATGACCCGGATACGGATGCGGATGCCGTTGCCACCTGTTGTTGTTGCTGTTGCTATTCCTGTTGCTCCTGATGTTGTGCATATTAATGTTCGACATGTTAAGCGACATGTTGTGTCCGCTTCTTGTCCATGCTACTATCTGGGCCAAGCCCGAACCCCACTCAAGACGGCAACGGTCTGTCTGTAGCGACAACTGTGTGCCCCTAGGCGGGGGTTTGACGCAGGGTTCAATAGTGCCTTTACTTTCACATTAATTGGCCACAGTGTGGATAGCCAAACCCAAAAACATTTAACGCGAGTTTCGCGTGAGTGCCCGCCCAACAAGTGCAACAACTTCAGCCTTGGTCCGCCCACACCTGGCCTACCCTCTTCAGGCCCTTTTTAGTCTAGAGTTGCAATCGTAATGCTCTGACGCCCTTTCTTCAGCCTTGCCCCGCCCACTCCTAGCCAACCCTCTTCAGGTCCTTTCTAGTCTAGAGCTGCAATCGTAACGCTCTTACGTCCTTTCATAAGCTTATGAAGCCAAGAGTATCGCATCGACCAGGTGCATTCAACCTGTCCACCGCAAATTCCTAATACTCGAATAAAAAATGCATGACTAGAACTGTGACTATAATGCCGATAATTGGCTACACTTCTGTTCGAGTTCCCACTTTCAATTGTTATGAGTTGAAGGTATTCAATTTGTATTCAACCCCACTCATTTTCGACATAACTGAGTTTTGCTTTTCCTATCAATAACAAGATTGATATTGGAGGGTATTATAATTTTGTCATGCAATACGTAACGCGCAGAAAGAGATGGGTCCCACTTTATAAAGTATATACATTTATGATCTGAATCAAAAGCCAAGTCGAGCCGAGTCCTTCTAGCTCTCTGCCTTTTTATATGGAATGAAATGTCGACTCCAGTTGGATCAGACTATAATATATAGATCCCATAGGCATAGATCGGGGTTAAATTAAGTTCTTATATAAAGAACATTTTTGATTTTCAATAAATGGCATTTTACTCCAAGGCTTTTTTAAAAGCCTTTTCTATTTATAATTTAAATTCAAGTTGTTTTTTCCTTGAGGATTCAAATAAAATATATTAAGAGCAAAGTTATGCATAGTATATTATATTATATTTTATTATACCCTGAACCAATTAAAAACGGGTATAAGGGTACATTGTATTTGTGCGAAATCCAAATGTATGTAACAGGCAGAAGGAAGCATCTCCGACCCCATAAAGTATATATATTCTTGATCAGCATCAATAGCCGAGTCGATATAGCCATGTCCGTCTGTCTGTCCGTCCGTCCGTCCGTATGTATGAACGCAAGGATCTCAGAACCAATTAGAGCTAGACTTGAAATTGTAGATGTAGATGCTCCCAGTTCCCGCGCAGATTGAGTTTGTTTCCGATAATCGATAACTTACTCCGCTTCCAAGCAATCGATAAAAATCGATATCCTATTTTTTGCGCAATTTTGGTAAATAATAAGAGCTAGAGTCACCAAACTTGACATATAGCTTCTAAAATAGAATATATATATTTGATGTTCGAAGAAGCGGGTTCAGGGTATCCCCTAGTCGGGACTAGAACCGACTAGAACCTCTTATTTGCTATATTATGTAGTATATTTTATTGTTCTATTAAACTCTTCAAGTGCTAAACTTTGTCTTTTGTTGTTTATTAAAGTTCTTTGCTCCAATTAGAATACATTTTTCTTTTGGAGCATTTGACTGGGAACACTTCAGTTATGGCCGCAAACTGAAGACAATGTCTTTGGCTGGAAACAGTTTTCCCCCTTTTTCTTTTTTTTTCCAATTTATTTTCTTGTTCTCGTTTTTGAGTTTTGCCTTTTCGTTGGCTGGGCACATAAATCCCTTGACTTGAAAGGTGCGACGCGTGCGACTTTTGCCAGCCCTCATTGTCCGGAAGGTCTGATAAAATCGCAAGTTTTCGTTCGTTTCGGGGAATACTTAAATTATGCTACTGTTGTTGTTGTTGTTGGCTTTGGCCTGGGAATCGAAATGTGAATAGCAAATGGAAGTAGTGCAATTTGCGTAGTTTAACACTTGGCTTGACTGTTATTTACATGGAAGTGCTTTCCATCTGTCATTTGAATGCATTTACATTTATGTTTGTTTGGCTGTTGCAGGAAATTAGCAAAGTTTTTCAACTTTAAATCGTTTATTGATCAATTTAAAAGACAATTAGCCAAAGGGCACCTATATGCAAAATAGGTCTGTACAAAATGGCATTTAAGAACAAGTAAAAGGTTCTAGTCGGCAGCTCCCGACTAGGGGATACCCTGAACCCTCTTCTTCCAACATCAAATGAATATATATATTCTATTTTAGAAGCTATATGTCAAGTTTGGTGACTCTAGCTCTTATTATTTACCAAAATTGCCCAAAAAAAACAGGATATCGATATCGGACGGACAGACAGACGGACATAGGTAGATCGACTCGGCCATTGATGCTGATCAAGAATATATGTACTTTATGGAGTCGGAGATGCTTCCTTCTGCCTGTTACATACATTTGGATTTTGCACAAATACAATATACCCTTATAATCATTTTTAATGGGTTCAGTGTATAAAAAAATAGTATTTTTATTAACATAAGATAATATCATCCAATTAACACACACAAGTAGCACACACAACATCTAAAAACCAATATTCACCTATAAATTAAACTTTTTTTTTGTCAAAACATTGTTATTAAAAATATAAACTTGCAATTTATTAATTTTATTATCATTCTCGGCATATCTACAGCCTCTGAAATTCCCCTAAAATTTCGAAACAGATGCTAGTATTTCGCTCTACTCCCTTAGAGTCAAAGGCCTTAAATGTATAGACAAGCTTGTGTGGTCCAATCAATGGTAATCCTTGTGCCTCGAAGAATAAATCTACATTAAACGGTTCGTGAATAAATTTAGTCTAGGAGAGAAGGACATATGCTGTCTATAAGTAAATAATATTACTAGATAACATAGAACTTACTCCAGGCAGAATACATTTATCATTGACTTGTTCCCTATTGATTATGTATTTCGACCAATACTTGTACCAGTACTGTTCTTTTTGAAAGAGAGATGAACAGAAGTCACGGACAAACATATTGAATACTGTTGGTTGCCAGGATCCCCGATCGAAGCGTTTTATTTCAAAAGTTCCCTGAAATTAATAAAAATTATTGTGATGTTTTAATCCATTTTAGTTTAATCGTAGACTGATTGAATTCAGTCAAACAATATTGAACAATATTCACCTGAATGCGATCACCAGATTGAATATTCCAGACGCAGGTGAGATTGCCCGCAAAGCGTACGGACACAAAATCCGTTTTAAAGGTTGAATCAGAGGTATCGAAAAGTCCATTAAAATTGTGTACATTACTTGGTTTATTAGGACAATCGGTGACTAAATCCTCGTTTTCAGGAATGAATTTATATTTTAAAGCACTCGATTGCCTTTCGAATAAAATCAAAATCAACACTTGGTACACAAACTTCGGTGGGGACCACATCTTTTGTGTTCGCGTTGATTAGTCGAATACAATTTCGAATTGGGTTTTGTGCATTACGGGCTGTGGGTTTTTATACACCAGAATATGAATATATAACGTGCCTATTACACAACAATAATTAAACATGCTTGTTAGATCGTACCTAATGTCAAAAAGGTTGTCCTGGTATCAAATTAATTATAGCATACTGCTAGATATATCGTTCAACATATATGTTTTTTATACCCTGAACCCATTAAAATGGGTATAAGGGTATATTGTATTTGTGCAAAATCCAAATGTATGTTACAGGCAGAAGTAAGCTTCTCCGACCCCATAAAGTATATATATTCTTGATCAGCATCAATAGCCAAGTCGATATAGTCATGTCCGTCTGTCCGTCTGACCGTCTGTCCGTCTGACCGTCTGTCTGTTTCTATGCAAACTTGTCCCTCAGTTTAAAAGCTATCTTAATGAAACCTTGCAGAACTCCCTCTTTCTGTTGCACGTAGCACATATGTCAAAACCAGCTGGATCGGACTACTATATAATATAGCTGCCATAGAAACGATTGGTCGAAAATTAAGTTGTTGTATGAAAAAACATTTTATTTTTCAAGATATCTTGACCAAACTTGGCATTTATTAGTTTTACTATACTCCTTATATATATGCAAAGTCCTATTAAGATCGGATCACAATATCATAGATAGGTGCCATAGGATCGATCGGTCGAAAATTAATTTGTATGTCATTCTAGATATTTTGATTAAGCACGGCACTTAAAGATTTCACTATGCTCCTTTCATTTTTGCAAAATCTTATTTACATCGGACTACTATATCATATATCTGCCACAGGAACGATCGGTCGAAAACTAGGTTTTTGATTAAAAACCTTTTTTGTTTATTAAGATATCTTGACCAAACTCGCATTAACTATTTTCCCTGTGTTTCTTAGATAGGGGCAAAGCACTATAAGCATTATGAAAAGGTTGGGTCTGCAAGGGTATTAGATCTTCGGTGTGCCGAAGATAATCTTTCTTTCTTGTTTAATTTAATATTGCAATTATAGTTATGTAATTGGCAAATGGCCACTTTAATCGTTTTGTTTGATTTATAATTAATGAGAACAAACGAGGATGATTTTTTAAATATATTTTCACGCTGAAAATGTTATTATACCCTGAAACCATTAAAAATGGGTAAAAAGGATATATTGTATTTGTGCAAAATGTAAATGTATGTAACAGGCAAGAGGAAGCATCTCCGACCCCATAAAGTATATATATTCTTGATCAGCACCAATAGCTGAGTCCATCTAGTCATGTTCGTCTGTCGGTCTTTCCGTCCGTCCATCTGCCCGTCTGTCCGTATGTATGAACGAAAGGATATCACAACCTATAAGAGCTACAGACTTGACATTTTAGCTGAAGGTCCTCCTAATGACTGCGCAGATTGAGTTTGTTACCGATAATCGATAACTTATTCCGTTTCAAAGCAATTATAAAAATCGATATCCACATCCTGCATTTTGAGGAAACTAGGTAAATAATAAAAGCTAGAGTCACCAAACATGACATGTTGCTTCTAGAATATTATATATGCATATGTCGGAGCGCGAATTATTATTCTCCGTTCTATAAAGCTTCAGACCGCAGCGAGTTTCGATGTGTACACTAGGCGTCTTCGGAAGCAACAGAACTCAACGTTCTTCCTTTTCCCTTTGTATCCTATCTAACTACACTCGGCGACATTGTCGCCTCGCCATGACAGTTCTAAGCAAAGCGACAATAATGCTTTTAGAACAGTCGCAACATACAACTTCATTTGCCATTCTCAATCATTGTGAAATACCAAATATTTTGACATTCTCAATCATTATTCTACGTACAACCACACAGACATTCCTTATGCGCCGACATATATATTTATCAAGTACCTTTCATTTTATACCTATCGTCACCTCCCCGCTACCACCGCAGAGCTATAAATCAAGTTAATAACCCAACTTGTATTGCCCACCAATTTAAGCCACAATTTCAATGCAATTGACGAGAATACGCAAAAAATCTATGGTTCAATAAGATATACTGTCGAATATTTCATAAGGATCGGTTTTTGTTTTGTTTTTCGGTATTTTGACTGCTCACGTGCTTGCGTCGAAAATATAAAGAATTTCTGTATACATGTACACACACACATTCATGCTCGTCTGCTTCGAATTCTATCAACAACATTGTAATTGCGATTGTATTGTTTTCTGTGCTGCTATTTAAATTCGTTTTTTTTTTCTCACTGAGACTTAGTTATTGGTGTGGCTGTTGAGTGAAGACGGCGGCAAGTAGTGCGGTTACTTTTTATACCCTGAACCCATTAAAAATGGGTATAAGGGTATATTGTATTTGTGCGAAAGCCAAATGTATGTAACAGGCAGAAGGAAGCATCTCCGACCCCATAAAGTATATATTGATCAGTATCACTAGCCGAGTCGATCTGGCCATGTTCGTCTCTCTGTCCGTCCGTCCGTTCGTCCGTATGTATGAACGCAAGGAGCTCAGAACCTATAAGAGCTAGAGACTTGTCTTTTAGAAGTAGGCGCTCCTAGTGCCTGCGCAGATCGAGTTTGTTTCCGATAATCGATAACTTATTCCGTTTCCAAGCAATTGATAAAAATCGATATCGATATCCTGTTTTTTGGGCAATTTTGGTAAATAATAAGAGCTAGAGTCACCAAACTTGACATATAGCTTCTAAAATAGAATATATATGTATATGCATTTGATGTTGGAAGAAGAGGGTTCAGGGTATTCCCTAGTCGGGAGCTCCCGACTAGAACATTATACTTGTTTATTAATTTATTTGGTGTTGGAATAAGAGGGTTCAGGGTATTCCTAAGTCGCGAGCTCCTGACTAAAACCTCTTACTTGTTCTATTTCATTTATTATACAATTCCTGATACAATTGCGAGATACAAAATTATATGGAAATGTCATATTGAGAAAACCCACTGCATGAAAATAATCAACAAAGAAGTTTAACGCAGAAAACGACTGGAAGATATTGCTGTTATGGCAAGCTGTGAGGGACCTTAGGAACAATTATCTCGAGCCACGCAAGCTGTGAAGGGCGAGACACTAAGCTTTAAAGGACCTGAGGTACAATTATTGCGAGCTACTCCTAATGCGAAGGTCCTCATGAAAATATTAGCCTACTTTTGTGGTAGAGTATAGCTGAAAATTAGAGAAGCATATAATCGTTAGTTTTCATCAAATTTTCCCAGCTAGCATATATTAAGCCTTTATAAGGAACTACCAAATTAAATATCATAACTGAAATAGATTCAAAAATAGGAAACTGAGCGCTCTCGTAGCTCCATATATTATTGGGCTACATGATGTCATCATAAATTTCAAATGATATCGTTTGAAAATGCCATGAAATGTGTTTATAATTTAAAACAAAATTTCAAAGACACCACATTTGGGAAATGCCATGCAAACAAACAAACAAACAAACAAATTTCTGCGCCTTTAGGCAACGTCAATTTAACATAAATGTTACATTGTGACAGTTGTTGTGAGAGCGTGTGTGTGTGTGCGAGTGTGTGTAGCTGTGTGTGTGCCGTGCGCAAAACGTGTGCGCATAAATATTTAAATGCCAAAAAGTCACGTCTTGAATAATTGTTTAACTTGCAAATGTTAGCAGCAACGGGTTAATGCTTGAGATGGGGCTGGGGCTGGGACTGGGGCTGTTAAATTGAAGGTAATAGAGGGGGTTGGAGCATGGTAGCTACTGTAGAATTGGGGGAGCCGAACTAACAACAGCGACAACAACGGCTGCTGCTGTTGCTATTTTAAGAAGTTTTTCAACTAAGTGCAGCTGCCGACAAGGCGGCATTAACCAGGTCTAAGTTCCTTCGGCCAGGATTCATTATTATGAAAGCAAATTACTCGAACACACACACACACAATAGCAGCAGCGGCGTGTGTAGGCGCATGTGTGTATCTGTGTGACTGTTAATTTTCATATTTAATCCGTTAAAATGTGCAAATACCCAACAGGCACTCCGAGCGCACGATGCCAGACGCCACACTCGCATCCCCAGCTCCAGCTACAGCCACAGCCACAGCATCGGTGCCTCACACACACACACACACACACACACACACACACACACACACACACACAGCACATACAGCACTTACAGCCAATGAGGCAAGGAAGTGAATACCAGAATGTCGCACGTGTTTCCCTAAATACATATGAATATGAATATGAGAATAGTGTAAGTGAAGTTATTAAAGCTACTAAACATGCACATAAGTATGCAGCACACATACACACACACACACACATGCACGCACACACACACACCCGCACACACACACACCCGCACATGCATATTACTTTTACCTACTTTCACAAAATTTCGCCGTTAAAAATGTGTAATATGATTTTCTCTTTCTCTCACTTCGTGTGTGTGTCTGTGTGTGTCTGTGTGTGTGTGCGGGTTACCCTTCGCTGGCAGCTATGATTTATGCTCAGGCAACTTGGGAGCTCTGCGGCTCCTACGGGCTGGCCACATCATAAAACATGGCATATCAAAGTTCAATTGGCAGCTGCATCATTAACCAGGCCAGAAAACACATCATAAATAAAAAATATATAGACGAACAACAATTGTGAATGAATATATACATGCATACATATACACAAGTCCATTTCTTAAGCCTTGCATTGTGTCTACAAATTATTGAAAAATAATCTAAAACAAGTAAGAGGTTCTAGTCGGGAGCTCCCGACTAGGGGATACCCTGAACCCTCTTCTTCCAACATCAAATGCATATATATATTCTATTTTAGAAGCTAAAAGTCAAGTTTGGTAACTCTAGCTCTTATTATTTACCAAAATTGCCAAAAAAAAAAGGATATCGATATCGAATTTATCGATTGCTTGGAAAGGGAGTAAGTTATCGATTATCGGAAACAAACTCGATCTGCGCGGGCATTAGGAGCACCTTCATCTAAAAAGTCTCTAGCTCTTATAGGTTCTGAGATCCTTGCGTTCATACAAACGGACGGACGGACGGACGGACAGACAGATGGACATGGCTAGATCGACTCTGCTTTTGGTGCTGATCAAGAATATATATACTTTATGGGGTCGGAGAAGCTTCCTTCTGCCTGTTACATACATTTGGCTATCGCACAAATACAATATACCCTTATACCCATTTTTAATGGGTTCAGGGTATAAAAATCATAATGCTAGTTTACTAAAATAATTTGGTCATGTATTAATTTTTTATGGGACTCTCACAGTAATATATTTTATATCTGTATCATATATATATCTTATATTTGTTTGCAATTTTAAATTGCAAAATAAGACAGGAACGAGAAAGTAAGGCTATTTTCGACACGCCGAAGACTTAATACCTTTGTAAGCATTTGTCTTTTGCAGATACGTGATAATATTGCAGCTCGAAAATGTCTTCGAAGATGTCTCCTTCTATGCGTTACACATTTCATGGCAAAACTATAATACCTTGTAGAGACAAGGGTGTAAGAAAGGTTATCCTAGATTGCCGAAGTCTAAGTACCCTTACAGCCATATAACTAGCAAAGAGTTGTTCTTATACAAGAGTTCTCTTTCGATCGATTGTTCCTATAGCAGCCATAAGATATGATAGTAACGGCTCTGCAGATTTGTATTATATATATTTTTGTAATTATTTATATATTTTAAAATAAATCATATATTTATAAAGGCCAAGATTTATTTAGATATCTTGAAGATTAGATATCTAAAGCAAGAGTTGTTCACAAAAAAAAACAATTTTTTTTTTTAACAATTCTTCCCTAAGAGCTATATGATATAGTAAGCCTATGTTGATAAGACTATACCCATATGTATTGGATAAATAAAGAAGTTTTTTATATAGAAACTAAATTTTCTTAAGATCTTGGCTAGGCCATATGATATTGAGGTCCGATTTAATCAGTGCCTACATCAGGAACACGTAGTTATGCAATGTTGTGTGACGATAGCTTAAAAACTGAGAGACTCTTTTGCCTAGACACAGATTCGATCGGGTTCTGGTAATGATCAATAATATATATAATCTTTAGCGTCGAAAGGGTCTCATTCGGTGAGATATTGATAATACTCTCTGCAAGGGTATAACAATTAAATCAGTTACTCCCTAAGATAAAGTTATCTTCAATTTTAAGATGCATAATATTCGTTAGGTTTGTCAAGTAGCGAGTCGCGACATTTTCAAACATCCAAAGTAACCTAGACAAGTCACAGTTACAATGTGGCAACTTCTTCACAAACAGTCCTGTTTCTTGGCTAGTCATTCTGCGTCCGTGCCCGCACGTACGATTAATCGATAGCTATCGATAGCTTGTAAGCTGTGCCCATCAGCAGTTACTGCCACGTGGCTTAATAGAATAGCATCAAAGCTTAACTAGAGTATAGAAGAAGAACCAAAGAACCAAGCACTTAAAGATGTCCTCGTTTTATGGATTAATTATGAAACCGTACTGTAAGTACACCCAGCAAGTGACCAAGGCATTTCACATCTCCAGTGTGGCTATTGATGAGGGAGAATATGCCAAATTATATATGACTATTAAGAATGAAAAATATGTTGTGGCAACCTTATCACACGGTACTCCGCAAACTGCACTCGACTTGAACTTCAGCAAGGGCGAACGCGTGGTACTCGAATCGATGGGCAATGCAACCATTTGCTTGCTTGGCTACTCGTATCCCACCGATGGCTCCGATGACGATGAATCCATTCTGATATCATCGGATGGCGAGGTCACGGCCAGCGATGTGGAAAGCCGCCATAGAGAGTATCAGCCAACAGATGAGGCTCAAGCCAATCTTCCATTCGACGAACTGCAGCGAACTGTACAGGAGAATTACTTTGATCATGATATGGAGGATGATCTGCGCTCTGACGATTACAGTGCGGGCGATGCCCATTTCAAGTCCGAAGATGATATGCCACTGGAGCCCAAAAAATCGAAAGAGCCAATATTGACCGAGGCCAAAAAGCTGGTGCAAAAGGTCATCGTGGCGGTGCTCAACAAGGAGAATGAAAATATCGTAAAATTGGGTGGTAAGCGTCGCAATACTTGGCCCATAGATGGCGCTTTTGCCAATCGCGAGGATACACTCGACATCAAGTCGGAAAGCTCAGATGATGAATCGAAATGAATTTATTGAAAGTTGAATGCATTTTGGAAAAACGAGCGTATAAAATATACCAAAATTAGTTGAACATTCCCAGTTCAACAAATTAATACAAGTGTATTTTTTGTTGGGTAGATAGTCAGTTACTAAATGGGCAAGACCTAAGCCCTAGATCTTAATATTTAATATGCCAAGGGAAACTTAAAGCGGCTGCAATTAAATTTATCCTGAGTATAAAGATTACAACTACTATGATTATTATTATTTAGATGAAGTCAGGCGTGAACATAAAAGTCGAAGCGAATGCACAGGTGTAAGAGAGTACAAACTACCAAGTTATTAAGTAAATACAGACGAGTAACTATCTAGGTGAATAGTTAGCTGACAGGCAGCACAACTGTACCTGGTAAAATGCTGCTTTTAACCCCAAATTGATAATAACTGGCAGCTGGCACGTGTGCTCGAGTGAATAGGATGCCGTCTTAACGGATTCGTCAGAAGATGGTCATAAAAAGCCAGGCAAACATTAAACATGTCCACAAATTAGTGGCGCATTTGGGACTTCAACTATGTATGTAAGTGTTCATGAATTGTGTGTGTGTGTATGTGTGTGTGTGTGTGTTTGGTGTGTGTGGTATATGTGGTGTGTGTAGTATGTGTGTGTATGTGGGCACGTTGAGGCTGCCTTGCAACAAACTTGTAACCGCCAAAGGACACAAACAACAACTACAATAACGACAACTACTTAGCTGACAACAATTTGGGACACATTTGGTTTTGAAGAAGTCCAGCAATAATATCAAGTTTTAAATGAGTCTGTACGTGTCCCCGAAGGGAATTGCAAATTCGTTTTGAATCTGGAATTTGATGAGCTACTGTGGCAGCTGCCTTGATCTGTCAGCGACATATCAGATGTATTTAAAAAGGAAAGAATAAAAAAATCAGAGAATAATGGTAGACATCACAAACATTGGTTAATTTAATGCATTAGGCAAGTTTCTAAAGCTCTAATTTTTGGACTAATCCTAGCTAATTTTAGTGTAAAAGATGAAAAAAAAACGCGCTTTAGGAAATATCTGACTCTAAAAATTATCCATAGTTAAATCTTTCTGTCTAAAATCAAGTCAAGTTATTTTTACTTTTATACCTTTACCTTTACTTTTATAGCTTAACTGCCCCTCGCCTCTCTATGCGATTTTCATGGCTATTAAATGTAAATAAACGTGTGACGGAGTGCGACATGCAGGATTAGCTTATCCTGGCAAGGGTCATTTTTATGGGAACCTTTTGAAAGTGCCCCTGTCTCCGTCCTCGACCTTCGCCAAACACACACACAGCGGCACTCGAAGCACACTCAGGTTTTATGGACTTTGATTGCATTTGACATTTATTGATTATTATTCAAAAGCAGACAGACAACTGAGCGACTGTGTGTATGAGTTATCGTGTGGGTGTTAATCGTGTGTGTGTGTCTGTGGGAAAAGTTGTGTGTAAATATTTATTAATTGCTGATATGCAATTAAAAATTACAACAACAAACAGGACGCAATTGACAGCTGCAGCGCACATGAAACAAAACAAAAACAAGTAAGAGGTTCTAGTCGGGAGCTCCCGACTAGGGGATACCCTGAACCCATTCTTTCAACATCAAATGTATATTCTATTTTAGAAGCTACATGTCAAGTTTGGTGACTCTAGCTCTTATTATTTACCAAAATTGCCCAAAAAACAGGATATCGATATCGATTTTTATCGATTGCTTGGAAACGGAGTAAGTTATCGATTATAGGAAACAAACTCGATCTGCGCGGGAGCTAGGAGCATCTACATCTAATTAAATTTCAAGTCTCTAACTCTTATAGGTTCTGAGATCCTTGCGTTCATACATACGGACGGACAGACAGACGGACATGGCTAGATTGGCTCGGCTGTTGATGCTGATCAAGAATATATATACTTTATGGGGTCGGAGATGCTTCCTTCTGTCTGTTACATACATTTGGCTTTCGCACAAATACAATGTACCCTTATACCCGTTTTTAATGGGTTCAGGGTATAAAAAGTATGGGTATATGCAAATACACCCAGACACAAATACAACTTTACAAACTTGATATGCATATATATATATATATATATATATATATATATATAAAATATTTATATATGAATAAAGAGCTTTGGATTCACGCAAGTGCCTAAAGTTTTTGCAGCTCTTTAAAATTAATATGAAAAAGAAATTAAAGCGAAACTCGTGCGATTCCCATACACTAGAAAAATCATTTATCATGCCATGCGTATAAATAATTGCAATAACCATCTACTTGTCAATCACATGAGCGGCTTTACGACCAAGGTGTGAAAATGTTGCCACCAGTCAGCTAATGCCATAAATTGCCAAGGCGTCATTTGATATATTTGTAGGCTTTACAAATTAATACATAAACGATTAGCCCAATTATGAGTGTGGCAGACAAACTATTTCCCAGGCCTCACAATTGACCGAAGCAACTGAATGGATTTGCGAGCTATCTAAGCAAACACTTGACTTAGACAAAATATGATAACAATTGCGAATTGCAAATTGACTATGCAAATTAACTTAAATTTAATTGCTTAACGATTAAAATAAGCCTGATAAAGGCTAATGCTTAAATAGCAATTTTGTGTGTGCAATCAAATTCAATTGAAATGTCAAAAACTCGACTGTTAAGCCCGCAAGCACTTGAAAATGGCTATAAAGGGTTTTTTTTTGGACAAATATGTGCAACAGGCAGTAGACAAGCAGATACTATCCAAACATGTCCATCCATGAATAATAATAATAATGTTTAAAAAACATATTTGGAACCTTGTTTTCGTTATCTCCAATTTTCATAATAACGATAAATATCTATTAATTCCGATAACTATCAATTCGAAAAATATCTATCTATCGATTCGAAAAATATCTATCTTAAGTTCTTTTTAAGCATAACTCGAGTATTATTTGTTAAGAGCTAGATACACCAAACTTGGTGTGTAGATTGTGGTATAGTATAATCAGATGAAGAATATTTCGCTTTGTAGATACCTCCCCATAATTGTTCTTATATTAGAAAACTTTTTGTTAAAGGCATAGTGCATTTTTTGGAAGTTTCCCAACATTGGATGAGACATTTGTTTTATCCCATGCAATCTGATATATCTTTTTATATCTGTATACAATTTAAAGAAAGAAATCATATAATTGATTAAATATCTCTGACTAAACGTTGCTCAATTACAATTGTTAACTAGTGTGTTAATCAGCTGTTTAATTTATTAACTTGCAATCTACATAAAGTATTTAAAGTGTGGTTAGTAGAATAATAAGGCTCAGCCATAGTATGTGGTTCGCAGGAGGGCAAAAAATTGATACGACATGCTGATTACCTTCATGAATGTATTAAACGAGATGGGCGGAAATGTGGGCGGTCGTATAGAGGCGGGCTTCTGGCTGCGCATTATAATATAACGCATGATCTGCTTGTACTTCGAGCCGCAGGGCAGCCAGTTGTGGTTGAACGCCGAGTCGCCAATACGAGAGCTCTAAATGGGAAATGGAATTAGTATTGTTCCAGCTGGGCATACGTACTCACCGATGAGATCATCTCATCGCCATAATAGCACACAACAAACACCTGCACCAGCGATGCCGAGAAGAATATGAAATAGAGCACAATATCTTCCACATTGGAGGCGGTGATTTGAAAGCCAGCAAAGCAAATGACCAAAGAGGCGGCTATAAAATTCCACAGAATTGTGAAGCTGAAAATGTTGTTTACCTCTTCGCTGAGACTGCAAAAAAAACAAAAGTAAATTTATATTATAGACATATTTTTACAATAAAGTCATATTTGTATACCCTGAACCCATTAAAAATGGGTGTAAGGGTATATTGTATTTGTGCGAAAGCCAAATGTATGTAACAGGCAGAAGGAAGCATCTCCGACCCCATAAAGTATATATATTCTTGATCAGCATCAATAGCCGAGTCGATCTAGCCATGTCCGTCTGTCTGTCCGTCCGTCCGTCCGTCTGTCCGTATGTATGAACGCAAAGATCTCAGAACCTATAAGAGCTGGAGAAATTTTAGATGTAGGTGCTTCTAGTGCCTGCGCAGATCGTGTTTGTTTCCGATAATGGATAACTTGCCCCGTTTCCAAGTAATCGATAAAAGTCGATATCGATATTCTATTTTTTGCGCAATTTTGGTAAATAAAAAGATCTAGAGTCACCAAACTTGACATTTAGCTTCTAAAATAGAATATATATATACATTTGATGTTGGAAGAAGAGGGTTCAGGGTATCCCCTAGTCGGGAGCTTCTGACTAGAACCTCTTACTTGTTCTTATCTTAATATATCCAAATTGTAGAAAGCGATAAATCCAATTTGTAAAAACGAAAACATTCACAAATTTCTAACAATCTCCACACAAAATAGGATTTATTATAAAATAGGTGGCCAATTGGCTCGGCCTTGCACCTCTTGGTGGTGGTTAGAGGGGTGCCAATCTGGCAAAAGAAATGTGTTTTCTTTCTCATTTCTTTCTTTTTTGTTAAAGATAAACTTTTTAAAACTGTGTCTTTTAATTAATTGATTGGAAAGTCAAACAAATTTGTATGCAAGGACCCAATTTTTTATCTACAGTTGGAGCTTATATAATTAGAAACGTAATATCTTTTCAAAATGATACCAATTATTCTAATATTAATTTTTTAGCTCATTTTTTATCAGCGAAAAATTAATTTTTCCAGTTTTCAACTATGTTCATCAGGATAACATTTTTTTCATTCAATTATAAACATCACTCTTTTGCACTCATTTGTCAGCTTTAGCATAATTTAAATATCTCAAAATAACCTGCTTTTTTATACCCTGAATCTATTGAAAATGGGTAAAAAGGGTATATTGTATTTGTGCCAAATGCAAATGTATGTAACAGACAGAAGTAAGCATCTCCGACCCCATAAAGTACATATATTCTTGATCAGCATCAATAGCCGAGTCGAGCTAGCCATGTCCGTCTGTCAGTCCGTCCGTCTGTCCGTCCGTCCGTCCGTCTGTCCGTATGTATGAACGCAAGGATCTCAGAACCTATAAGAGCTAGAGAAATTTTAGATGTAGGTGCTTCTAGTGCCTGCGCAGATCGAGTTTGTTTCCGATAATCGAGAACTTGCCCCGTTTCCAAGTAATCGATAAAAATCGAATCGAAATCCTGTTTTCTGAACAATTTTGGTGAGTAATAACAGCTATAGTCACCAAACTTGATATATAGCTTCTAGAATATTATATATATATTTGGTGTTGGAAGAAGAGGGTTCAGGGTATCCCCTAGTCGGGAGCTCCCGACTAGAAACTCTTGTTTTTTTTAATACAGCGACGTGGACTTTCCGCAAATGTCAAAGATATTTAAAAGTGACTTTCAGTTGGCTGAATATAAAGCAAAAAATGTTGCAACTCCCAGTTTTTTGCCCATTTTCCGGCCGTATGTGTGCGTTTGCTTTTTTAATGCGGATAAATTTAGTTTGCAATTTTCAGCATACAACCAGAGTTCCCATCCCTCCATTTAAAAACCATGAAGGTTTGGTTCCCGAACAGTTTGAAGCTTGGACGGAACAAACAATTTTATTTATATAGACATTCATCTGCTAGCTGTGCTGCGGGCAGCTAAGAGAATTTGTCGTTAATGCAACCGGAAGGTTCTTCAACTGGCTTTCAATTGCTAACACAGTGAAGCTTAACGAGACGGTTGGCAAAACTGAAGGGTAGATGGATTATAACAGGTTATATATATGAGATGTTATCATTTTCAATACCAGACAGAACTTACTCCAATGCACGCGAATGATAAACCACAAGATCCTGGGCAAATTTAAGATTCTCATCTTCGGTGTGGGCATCACCATCGTATTCCTGAAGCATATCGGCCATATAATTGAAATGCATGGTCAGCTGGGTGATGGTGGTGATGAGCAATAGATCCACACACACATAGGAGACGCCGGCAACATAGGCGCAATGGGCGAGTCCCCAATAGGAGAACCAATAGACGGTTATATCCGTTTCCGCATCGTAGGGAAAGAGTATGTGAAAGCCGTAATTACGCTCAAATATCTCGGAGCCCATAAAGTAATACTTAATTGTCGACTTGATGGCCGGATAGAAACTGAATGACGATGTGTATGTCATGCAGAGTATGGTGAACAGCCACATGACGCGATTCATGTGCTTATTATAGTAGGCCACATGATACGCTTGTTGTTTCTCCTTGGTTAGCGGAAAAATGTCACTCAGATCGTCCAGAAGTTTGACCAACGTTTTGCGATTCACCGTCAAACCGAACTGCTTGAAATCGGCCATGAAACTGAAGCCAATGCAAGGCGCCACAGCGGTCGCCTCCAACAGGGTCGTTGTTGATGTTATATGCACTATAAAGTAGGCGATCTCGCCTACAACATAGGCATTGAAGTTGAGAAAGCCCAACACCAGATACAAGCGCAGCAAATAGCGACGCACCAGATTTTTGTCCCGCTCCGAGTACAGATCCTCGCCAATTGTCTTGTAAAAGACCATCGGGAATCGTGTCAGATCCTCGAAGGTGTACACATCGCGTTTCTGCTTCTTGCGCCTGAACATGTCGTCCGATACCAGTTGCCGGTCGAAGTGTTTAAGATGTCCACACCTGACATGGCTTTTATACTTGATGGCACCGCTGCACTAGACGGCATATATGAAATTATCATGAGGGAAGCCAGACAGTTGGGTCGGTTACCTAATTAAGTAATTATAGACACCTGCTTTGGGTCAGCAGCACCTGCATTTGAGTACTTAAACTTTTATGCTATAATTAAGTCTGAGCTGCAAAGGCGAATTCGATGCAAGCTCACCAAGCACCTAATATAGTTTTTCCTTTAGATAAGCTTGTCTGCATTTTTTCATCTTCTAAATGTTGCGTTTCTTAAAAGAAAATTGGGCTTATCCTAAAATCATGTGGAAAACTAGAGAAAATAAATTGGCTAAAATTCATAACGAAATATATTTTGAGTACTTCTCTTTTAATTGGTGGGAACTAGTTAAAGTTTGTGGAAAAAGCTTCTACTAAACGTATGGAATATTTTCAGTTCTTAAATTCAAAAAATTATACGAAAAACAAACAGTTCATTTAAAATTTTGAACATTTATTTGCCCATAAGAATCTCAGATTTTTTTTTAAATTCCTTGAAGGTTGGCATTCAAGAAAGTACATTCAAAATGGGTTTTATTGAAAACTTTAAAGTAATTTATTAAAATATAAGTCAGAGACGTAATATAACAAAATATTATTATGCTCTGGCACAATTGAGCAGATTGAGAAAAGCGCGACATCAAAGTATTCTTGTAGGAAATCAAGTGCCAAAATGCCACTGTAGAGCAATTTACCAAATTTAGCCAAATGTCCTTGCTGCCTTGATGGCTGTGCTGAGGCGTGCGGCAAGGGATGTGGGCACATTTGTTGGCTTCGAGAAGAGGCGGACACATTGCGATGTACATGCGCTTCAGAAGTTGCCTGCATTTGTTTCAATTATTCATTTGGAATGCGACTCAAAGGCGAACAATATGACAGGACTCTGGCATATTGACTGACTGACGGACTGCCTGAAGTGAACACAGATCCTTGGCTATGGCTGAGGATTTTCCTTTGACTGTCATCATAATAAAAACAAAATGAGAATTCCATTCCTAAAGTTCAATTGCAATTGGCCAAAGCAAACGAAAGGCTCAACTGGATCAGACTCATTTTTGACATAAATTTCACTTGAAATGCATATTTTTATGCTGAATCTTGGTGTTCATATAGTGCATGTAATATTGGTTAACGTTGAATCGATCTCTTTATAACAATATCAGCTGCACAATTTAAAATCAATATTCATAATTAGCTTTACACACTTATCTTCTTATTGTTCAACACTAGAGATAAGCAAAAATATCTGAGCATCGATTTGAGAAGTGTTGTAATCGATACTCAGTAATCGATTGCTGAGCTCGACGATGTTTTTTTTTTCAAATAAATATCGAGCTTTCAAAAACGAACAATGGAAATTGTTCAAATGGCTTTTATTAAAATGAATTGGGACCTTATTTCTTTTTGTTCTGATAATGTTTTAATGCAATAACAAAGCGTATTTCTTTAATAACAGCCCAACAATAGGCCAAAAAACTGTTTGTCTGCCTTCATAAATAAAACTCAAATTTGGAATACAACTCAAAGTCAAAGTTAACAAATGTGGTTAGCTAAACTAAGAGTTGTCATAAATGAAAATTGTTTTAATTTTGTGTACTCGTTCTATTATGCATAATCTAAAAAGTTGCCCAAATTGTCGGCTCGAGAGAATTTCAAACAGAAATCCCTCTGTACACAGAATTGCACTTGAAACTCTGCTAAAATATATATGCATTTTGTGAATTCCAATGCTGTCCCATCTATCGCTGCCTGTCTATGCCATGGCAAGACCCAAGTACTGTTGGGTAATAAAAGGTTTCCTTCTCAATATTCATATATTCATATGGCAAGCAAAACTAGTCGCAGTGAAAACATTTCAACATTAATATTTTGTTTATTTGCCTTACACTCTATTTGCAGTGAAAGTTTTCCAATAAATGCCCGTCGATGTCATTAGATCGTGTGGGTCTGTGCCAGCACACATAAATTCTGTTCATTGACAAATATATATATATACATACGTATGCATATATACACATAAATATATACAAACATTATCTATCATATAGTTTTTTATGTGCAAACTTTTTCGCATGGTTTAGCAAACCTGAAAAACGGATAAAAAACAATTATTACTGGTGTGCCAAGGCTTAGTATACCCATTAATGAATGCTTAACCAAATAATGCAGCTGTGTTTCTGCTTTGATTGATTAAATTTGCTGCTTGTAGTCGAAACATTATGCAATTATTGGGGCTTAGATTGGCATTCAAACGTGTGTACATACTTAAGCCAAAGGCTCTACCTTTACCCTTATGGAACGTGGGCAGATATTAAACAAGTAAGAGGTTCCAGTCGGGAGCTTCCGACTAGGGGATACCCTGAACCCATTCTTTCAACATCAAATGTATATTCTATTTTAGAAGCTATATGTCAGGTTTGGTGACTCTACATGTTATTATTTACCAAAATTGCCCAAAAAACAGGATATCGATATCGATTTTTATCGATTGCTTGAAAACGGATTATAGGTTCTGAGATCCTTGCGTTCATACATACGGACGGGCCGACGGACAGACAGACAGACATGGCTTGATCGACTCGGCTATTTATGCTGATCAAGAATATATATACTTTATGGGGTCGGAGATGCTTCCTTCTGCCTGTTACATACATTTGGATTTTGCACAAATACAATATACCCTTATACCCATTTTTAATGGGTTCAGGGTATAAAAGGTGAAATGTTATGGAACAGCTACAGCAGCTCTACGATAACCTCTTGTTCCTGTGAACTGCAGATCGGGAAAACCTAATTTGCAGTCCGATTCTTATCGATGTCATTGACATGTCGTGAGTAATCGATAATTTCAGCCTTATCTCTCTATCTATTTATATCTTAATAAGAATGCCAAGTTCTTTTACAGTTACATATTGTGTGATTAAATTGAAATACCCCATTCTCCTTCCCTTCGTACAGGCGTCAAACGTTGTATGACGCTCGGAAAAAATGCAAGTGTTCTATGGCATTCTAATTAAGAGCATAAATATTTCTCTGTAATGTGCAATTTAATTTCCCGAGCTGCAACTCTATTCAGATCGCGTTTGCGTGAAAACTATAATTGTGGTTATGTAAATGTGAATAATGAACAAGTTAAGCTTTTCACAAAAGCAAATGTTCAACAATAGAAAACACAATATGCTTATAAACCCCATGAAGTCGAAAGCTTATTAAATATACATAGTTAGAGGTCGCGATGGAGATGTTGTATAAAGAGTGTATTAGGAATTAAATAAAGTTGATTTAATTTGTTCGATTTAAGCAATGCGAGGCCTAATGAAAAGTTAAACTTATGTTATTTAAGAATCTTTATTTTTATAAAGATATATATAAGATATAAGTAAGTAAATGAACTCAATTGATCTCTTTTGCTTAAGCAAAGAAGTACTTTGGTTATTCTGCACATGGGATCGATAAAAGCAACCTCTCTGGTCTCCCATCTCTAACAATTCTGCAAGTACTATTTTAATCACGGCTGCAAGCGCAACTGAAAGTTGTCGTCGGTTCGGCTTGCAGATTTAATTAATGCCTCGCCTTCAGGTGACTAATACGATTTACGGTCCAGCTTAAAAACTCCTGGCGCGAATCGGAAAAACAAGTGCAAAAAGAATTCGAACAGTTTTTATGCCACTGACAGGCAACTCAATTATAACTGTTGATGCATGTTAATTGGTATATTTGCCATTCACACAAATGAACTGCATGGGATGCATGGGCATCGAGGTGGCAATGCCAAAAAGTGCAGCTTTAACCTTTAACACCCTTCTCGCATTGTAATCGGCGTCGCTCATCAAACGATCTTCTCTTCTTTATTTTTTTTTCTGTTGTTTTTTTTTTTGTTCCTGCTGGTTGTTTATTTGCTTTTATTTAAAGCGATTAATTTCTCGCATGAAATACAGCTCATACATAGTGCATATTGTTTATTCCGAATAAATTCCGCGTTTACAACACAATTATTTACTATGCGTTCGTCTTGTTGTTGTTGTTGTTGTGGTTGTTTTCCTGTTTTTATTGTAGGCTCTCTGTTTTTGCTTGTGCAGAAGTGCAACACATGGTGAAAGTTATAAAAAAATAAAAAAAAACGTTTAACATACAGTTATATGGGCCTTCCAGCAGCAGCTGAATGCGAGTACGTGTGTGTACATGCGTGTGTGTGTGTGTGTAAGTGTGCGTATGAATAGCTTTTGAAGCTAGGCAAAGTGCGAATTGAACATATGTATGTATGTATGTATGTACATTTGTATATGCGCGTACATTAATGCACAAACACCATATTTAATCAAACAATTGCATTTAGTTTATCAATACAAATACCTATTGAACCATTGGCTTAGGGCAATGTTTACAACGCCAGCTGAAATCAACATGTTATCCAGATAAAATATAGATGAGCTGTGAGGATGCGTGCTTACCTTGAACGCATAGTTCGAGCTTTTCGTTCAATCAACTTCAAACTCTCATTTATATAAAAGATTCTTTTGAACGTGATTCATTGGCTCCAAATGTGGGCTCAAAGTAGTTGGCCTAACACAATTTTACAATTTTCCACAGGCGTAAAATGGGTGGAAAGAAAAATGTAAAACTACATTTTCTAATAATATAAAGCACTTTAATAAACATCTTTTCTCTACTGTAGTTAGTATGCATTTGGAGACTAAGTTTGCCTTCTGCTGCACTGCACTTTTAATAAAACCTAAGAATCATATATTGACCTTCTATGTGATTCTCATGAATTCAAGAAAGCTTCACAGCCTAAACGATTTTCTTATTTTATATCAACAACAAAATGAATGCAATTTTGGGTAAGTGAATAACATGTATTACATGCTTACATATATATTTATATAAGTTAGTGCATTTATGTCTGCAACTT